TTATAGTCGGTCGTCCGATTCGCAGCGATGGACATCAGCGTTGGATGCCTATCGATTGTATCCTCGGACACATCGGATGATCGATTCGCATCCAATGCTGTGCCATTGCTACGATCGGACGACCGACTATGCACGCGCTCATACTCACAAGAGTTCATTGGAAAGCAAGTTTAAAAATATCGTTCATGGCTTTTGTTCTGTTTCGTTTCGGTTTTCCTTCTGCTTTAGTTCATGAAAGTGTTGATTCTACTGTCATTTTCAGGTAATTCCTAAGTCGCCGTCATGCTATTGAAAAGGTTTGGTGCGGCTGCACGTAGGATGACGCAGGCGGTAGGTGCTTTATTCCACTTTGAAGAGGAACTGTAATGTGATAGGATTCAACTCCTTTGCAGGCGATTTGGAAGATTCTCCATAGAAAAGCCTTCACTATACCGTTTGTTCCCTCCTTTGTTGAAAGCTACCCTCAAATTGGATACTGTCGTTGGAAGAACTGCTCTGCCTCTTGCAAGAAATCCAATCTACAGAGCTGTACGATTCATTTACTACCACTGCAGTCATAGTTTGCGACTTGAAGTTCGGTTTGTGGTCGAGTGTGCAATAGATACATATCGACCATGAGGTTTTGCATCCTCACGACGAATCTTATCTACTCCTAGAAAAACCGCGATCGCAAACTATTTCCGCGGTATAACTGTCAGTTCTGCTTATGTTCATGACTGATGCCTGTTTTTATTTGCAGGTTCAACTTCTCCTACGGAATGGAAGAGCATTCCGTCCGCTGTCATCACTAGCAATCCATCATCGTCGATTTCATCATGACAGAATTCATCTTCAGCGATTCGGCACTTTTACGTTAAAGAAACGGAATACGTTCGGGGTGGTGGAGAGAATAAGAGTGAGTTTGTATCCATTTCTTCTACATACTCCTCACTCTTTCGAAGGTTAAGGCCTCCATATTATTTATGTCTCTGATTCACTTGAAGGCAGATGGTACCATAAATTAGATGTTGTAGAAGGGGAATCTGGTCACTGTAAAGAAAATCTAATCACCTAACAAGGGCCACGACGCAGCGCTCTCGCTGCTAAGCAGAGGCAAGGGACAAGAAAGGGATCCCACGTTTCGAGTGTTGAGTAATTTTCTTTGATTTTTCTATTCACCATTGCGCCACTGGCCACCTCGACCTCCTCACCACTGGCAACCAATTCGTCGTACAACGTAACTTCTATCAGTATCTGTTCCTCTTTTATCTTAATAATATGGGGAGATGTTAGAGTGACGAATTCACTAGAAATTTTATCTTAGAGAGCAGTCGAATGCATTTGCCTTCATGACGCATTCCTTCCAGTTGAACAGGCTTTAGGCTTTGAGCCCAATCCCTTACGAATCCAAAAGCTTTGACAGCGATTGGTGAGAAGTCGGACACCAGTCTTGGGCCGGTGTCAGACTTTGCCATCCAGTGATTTTCACTAGCAGCGAATCCGTGGAGTCGCTAGCAAATACTGGATTTCCAGACACTGATGCCTGCCTTAACCCTTTGACGACAAAGCGTGGTTGCAGGTAGCGGGGTCTGGGATCACGCATCTTTCTGGCGAGCCAACTTCGGTCAGCATGGTGTATTTTTGCCCTCAAGAATTTTTCTATCGATTTCGGGCTTTCGAATGTATAAGATTATTTGCGTTTAATGCCTTCATATTGTTCTTGTTGGCAAGGAGAGGTGTGGAGTTTGGAAGTGAGATCTCAGCTTACAGGGATCGCGGGGTAGATTTAATATTTGTGTTTACAGTAGCACTTTTGATACAGTTCAAGTCCCTCTCCGTGTCTGAAGCTCGTGAAAAGAAGAAAGGACTTCGTCATCATTATGCGAAACTCCATTTGACATACCGGGGAACTGTATGCCACATTATTTAAATTCATATAAGTTAGATGTTAATTTGACCAATTAGTAACCCTGCAAGATAGAGATTATGAAGGTTGTTGATATTGCTGGATGCGTTAAATTTATGGATATTTTGAATGCGGGAAAGAATATAATTTCACGTGGCCTCACGGTAGTCAATGACGCCAAACGTTTGAGGTGCTCTGATTTGCACCGGATTGGATGTTGGAAAGTGCGGAAAAACCTTATAGAATATGGTCATGATTTTTATCGAGATTGAGTGCTTCAGTAACCACCCCTAATTCCCATAATCACTCCTGTCCTTGGTTGGACGCTTTCGCACATTCCGCACCTGCCGCGTAAGTATGGAAAGCTGTTTTGGGTTACGGCAAATTGTCCACGATACAGCCTTCGCCAAAATGAAATAGCAACAGACAAAAAGAAGCAGTCAGCGAAGAAGCTCATTGGGTAATTTTGCCTTTGGTAACTTACTTTTACTTATGTCGGTTATGTGTGATCTCTATTTAAAAGCACTAACCACGGGGAAATGCCTATCTATCCTGACCCTTGAGCTTTCATTTTTCCATTCACGACGCTTTGAGGACTCAAAGTTAGATACCGTCAACTTCAAGTTATCAGAATAACCGCTGCAAAGGAGTTTTGGAAGGTTCCGCCAGATGGAATGGCTTCTTTGGAAAGTATTTCATGGTGAGGCCATAACGGTAAATGATTCCCTCGGCTTTAAGGTAACTTATAAAAATAGCTGCCATCTTGTAAATCGGCAACATTTCGGAGGAACTTGTATGGATTCAAAGTAAGTATAGAAGTGAATTGCTCAAAATCACTGTTTCATTTGCTGTAGATTCAAGTACTTGAAACGGCTTCTGAGTTCTGTAGGAAACAGAGTTTTCATGTTTCTGGTTATGTGACGATGGAAATATTTGAAAGAAAAGAGGGAAAGCACACGATTTGGACGGGATTGGAATGCTTGTTGCTTTCTTCATCGAAGATGAATCCTTATATTTATTTCTTAATTATTGATTCAGGATGTCTTTTCTACAAATGTGCGCTATAACGCTGACCTAACGAGAACGACGTTTCCGAACACAATTGATGCATACGAAATAGGTATGTTTTGTATACATATTGGTTTAGGGCCATGTCTTAGGGGGGACGGGGGGAGGTGTGTAGACCATGGTTCCGATGGTAGGTACACTGCGGTAGCATAAGAGGGGAGAATGTTTGGGGAGGTACAAATTGTTACTCTCTCCAAGAATACGTTTCTTCTAAGGCTAGTTCAGACGAGTATGGGCCCGCTCTCGATGCCTCTCACCAACGACTATGTACGCCTTTTTTAACACTTCAGAGTGGTCTTTAAGGACAGATATTTTGGTTACGGTTGCAATGCTGCTGTGTATGCGTTGAAAGTCCGCGATAGTACTGGTCCAAGTACTTCATCTAGTATGGGCAGCGTTACAACTCGTGATTTTTCTGAGGAAGGCGCCTGTCCAATACAGGTTACTTTTGCTACTTTTTTCATCGCGTTCTCAAAAATGTGTTTACTATTCGTATTCGATACAGAAATATCCACTCGCTCTGAAACTGATGTATAATTTCGCCTTGGATTTATGCCCTCGACTGGGAGACAACTATTCTATGGCAGTCTATGGGGGCTGCGAACTAGTGTTCCATTACCAGAAAGTGCCAGCATTTTGAACGGTGAAGGGGATGGGCAGGTAATTGTCGATTTTTTTCGTTATATGTAGTAATTCTGAACTTACTTCTTTCGTACAGATTTCGACCTTTACCGGCTTTTCACCCGAATGTTGTACGTGTCCTAACTGCGTTTGTTGATCGTATGCCGATTTTGGATGACGCCAAACTTGTCTACCCCGATGCGCTTCCATCGGCTCCGTTCTATGAGATGATTATTAATGAACCCAGAACAATGTTCGTGGTGATGAAGAGGTGAATATTTTTTATATTAAGTTACATGGACCAAATGGTTTTGAAAGATGCTAAAATTGCCTTTTTCTTGTTGGCTGTGGACCGTTATCGATCAGCGATTTATATTTCGTTATATTTTCAGGATATCGCATGACATTGCGCGAATATGTCAAAGATTTCCGCAGAAAACGCAGTTATCACGTAGCCCGTGTTCTATTCGGTCAGCTCTTGGAAGGATGTGTATTCCTCTACGAGAATACTGTTTCACAACGAGATATGAAGAGCGACAATATTTTGCTGGAATTCAATTGCCCCGGTATGCGCTATTACGGAAGTCTTTTTTCGTACTTGGTTACATTTGCGTTGTTCCAGATGAAGTCCCTCACCTTGTTATTTCTGATTTCGGGTGTGCTCTGGCGACAGGTAGTTGGGTCGTCAAGTATGTTGACGACACTATCGATCTCGGAGGAAACAGAAAAACGAGAGCACCTGAAATTGTTATGGCGCGACCGGGTCCTGATAGGTAAGAGAATTTTCATGGACCTATTTCGCAATCACTACAAGTAAGCATTGAATTAGGCCTAAGGCTGGCATTGCTTTTTTCAGCATTGTCGATTTCCGAATGGCGGATACGTGGGCTGTTGGAACTCTTGCCTATGAGATATTCACTAGGTGGGTACTCTTGCAATTGAATTCTCATCAAGTCGTTTTGAACAAGACTGCCAGACAAGCCTAAATAGGCTGTCGGAGTTTTTAGTTGTATACCTTAAATTACCTTAAAAGTAGAGGTGTCGGTGTTACACTAAGTATGAACCACATAGTGAGGTCGCTTTTTGTCCCCTCGTTTACTGACTTTTCCAGAATGGGGGAATATTTCCGTTGGATAAATTGCGTGTTTTTTTTTTCAGAGTAAACCCGTTTTACTCTCGCCTGGACAGCGCCACTTACAAAGAAGAAGACCTTCCGAGTTTGTCTCCTTTTATTACAAAGCCGATTCGCGATGTTGTTCACCATCTTCTACGAAGAAATCCTGAAGAGGTAATAGCTGATACTTCTATCCTACTTTCCATATATACATCGTGCGCATCGTTTCTTTTTCAGAGACTGCTTCCTCACATCGCCGCAAATGTTATTTCTTTATCTCTCCTGCGATTGGGCGGAGATTTTCAATCATTTCTTTCGTCTTCTGGGCTGAACACCGTAATTAATCTCCAAACCATACGCAGCGCCCTCAGCACTTCATGGGAGAAGGTGTGTCAGTTTCTCCATCTGAGGTCAATTTCGATATTCTCCCAGAAAATTACCGCGGATGATCTATGACAAGGTGTGCCCTTGCTACCATCTTAGCGGAAAGTATCGAGTATGAAGAGAAGAGGAATTAGATCATTTCATTTTTCCACTAGTGTCTTACGTTGGTTCTTGAAGATCATTTTTTCACTAGTGTTACTGAGTTACATTTCCTAAAACCATGTGTTTCGTTTAAGCTTGCCATCAATGCTGAAAAGGTTCTGGATGATGTGCTTTTCCTTATATCTGCTGAAACTATTGCTTCTCGTGCTTCTTCACCTGGAGTTTTAAGTCGTGCAGAGCAACAGGTACGCTCTTCTTCATTATTATCAAGTGTCCTGCTTTACTGACTGGCATAAAAAATTGCGAATGGAATCTAGAGATGAGTTGATATCTTTTGCTTTTGATAAAAAAGCGTCAGATGTGAAAAAATTGGACTTGAAGGGTCCCTGTTTCGCGTTAGCTGCTGGTAGTGCTGTGCTCTCACAACATTGATTGAAAACGTGATTTTTCTTCAGTTCTATTATCTCATCCATTATGTCCCTGTAGCTGCTATTACTCATTATTTCTATGCAATCTATCTGAGTTTGAGCTCTGTGTGTATGTATGTCTGCTTTGCACTGGGCTCCCATTTTGCAAGTTTTTCAAGCTAATTCTAAGTGAAAAAGTCGAAATAAGATTACTCCAAGAGTATTCATCTCAGATGCTCTTCACTCATTTTTATTGTTTTAGCTTCGGGCTACTTTTCTTTCTCGTCTGAATCGTGATCACATCTGGGAGGCGGTAGCGTTCTTCCTTCCTAAGTGTCCGGTCCTGAATGAGGGTGCTTTTGGTGAATCTGGCGACACATCTCTTGCAGCTGCCATCGACAGTATGGCACTGAATAACAACAACGGCATCATTCATCGATATCGCTCTGTGGTTTTGAGTTAACTCGAACTTACTTCCATTCTGCAGTTCTATTATCCAATTGTAAATATGTAAAGTTAGATTAGAAAGTGTTACCGTCACTTTAGCAGCAGTAAATCATTTCTTGTCATTTTCCTCTTGTTCTTGTACATAATATAATAATTATCTTGCAAAGTTATTCTTCATGTTTAAATAAGTTCCACTATCAACTGCAAGACGATCTGTTTGTGAATCGTTTTTCCTTTGACATTTACAAGTGAAATTTGCTAATTGGATAAGTGATGGAGTGGAACAACAATGTGTTTGAAGGATGGCTATGGAATGTCTTTTTTTGAATAATTACTCGCTGGTAAATCTCGTGATATTTTTTAGTAAATCATTCGCCTTCTAGCCAACAATTGAAGTTAGTCCCAATAGACGGTTATGTAGATAACGGGTTATATCTTGCTCGATTTTGTACAAATCTCTGCCTTTGTGTGCCGTGAACATTGACATGTTGTAGTACAGCGTGGAATTCAAGTACAGGGCCGTATTCGTTAATAAAGTATATTCAAGTCTGCCGGAGTATAATTGTATGGCTTTGCATCCAAGTATACTGGAGAGGATTATTGGGGAGTTACAATTTCAAGTGACATATCGATTGTTAAAAATTGTGGTCTCAGTTTGCGTATGAGCTATTACCAAGCCGCTGATTCTTCGGCTGGAAGTCAAGAACGGTGCAGGTCAAATATCGTTTAACGAATCTTCAAAACTTGATGTCGGTAAGTTGGATACTTTTTTGGGACAGAATATTTTGCGTTATTTTTTACCAAACCATAGCTTCAGCGCCAGTGAAAAGCTGCCTTACCACGGAAGTCTTTCTGGATATGGAGTGCTTTTCCAAAGCGGTTTTTTGCATGTTGTAGTTATGGTGGCTCGTGTAGGGAGCAATAAACTGAGTACAATTTTTCTAAGTGTCTTTGGAAA